AATACTGTAGCCTTTTCGAGCTAGCTCTAATCAGTCACCTCCTGCATTATAATTAACACCAGGGGTGATGTCAGCACTCCGACTCCACTCCTAATATATACAGTCTATGGCATGAATACGTTAACGTCAAAAACCCTACAACCTGTCATTCTTTCAAATGTATTTTGACATGTGCCCAGTATTTGAACAGCTTTTTTCATACTTTTCATAAAGAAGCTCAGGAAAACCGGACAATCGTGCCTCTTTATTGACTGTGAATCATATGGTAAAGCTGATGAAGTGTTAGAAATGGAATCAACCTAGTAAGAACTAGAACCTTTAAGCTGCTTCGTACATTATATCTTAGAACTTTATAGTCTTTACATCACTGTTTCAATACTTGCCAATTCATAGCCACTCTCAATGGAATGTTTCATTCAGGTGTCAAGTGGAAAAACACACTTACACAATGAAGCAATATATAAGAGCAAAAGTAATAGACCACATATATGTTTCAATCCAATTCAACTTCTAGTTCAACTCTAAGTTCAATTTAAAGCATACAAACAGACAAGACAAAATAAAATAACAAACAGTTATGACTTTAAAAGACAGCCATGCAGTATTTCACATGGACTGATCTGGAGTGGCACTCAACCTGATGTTTGTCAGGGCTGATATTATTACATTTTGTGATTTGTTCCGTCAACAAATCAAACTGCACATAAAGCTCCTCAGCAAGGCCTGTGAAGTGTTCACTTGTGAGGTGACAAAGTACTCAAAAACCGTCATTGTAGGCCACTTGCAGCTTGTGTAGACTGGCTCTTTAATAGTTAGTTCACGGGTGGGCCATGTACAGTGGTGTACAGTATGATTTAAACAGTTTCACTTTAACATCAGTAGATCAGATATCATATAAATGCATGAGAATGTTGGCCTGCGTATACAACAACCTGCACTGTCTGTAAATGTCACTGTCATCAGTCTTATAGTCCAAAGTAGGATGTTTTAAAATGTTCTGTAAGGCAGTGGGGTGGGAAGAGCCTGTTACTAAGGTTAACGCTGAGCGGCCATTAAGTCATAAAAGTTACTGATCTGTAGCTATCTTGCTCCAGCTAATGATGTTTTAACAATATAACAAGTGTAATCCAGTGTTCATTTGGGATTGGGGACTCCCTTAGCTGAGTTTAACAGCCACACCTCTCTGAGTCTTTGTATCTGTTACATTATCACAATTTTGACATTACGCTTCACTTAGAATAATAATAATGCACTGGTTTCATATAGTGCTTTTTTGGACACTCATAGACGCTTCACATGTCATTTTTCATTCCCTCCATACTCAGTGGTGATAAACTAGTATTATAGCCAGCTGCAATACCCGGGGCACAATAACAGAAGCAAGGCAACCAGTTTGTGCCATCGCCCCTCTCCGTTCACCACCAGCACACACACACCAGAGTTGAAGTGGGTAAAGTAAGTAAGTAAGTAAGTAAAGTTTATTTGTATAGCGCCTTTCACAGACCAGGGTCACAAAGCGCTTCACACATTAAAATACAAAATACACACACAAGTCAGATAAAACAAACACAGAAAACACAATTTACATTCACAGAGGCCTATGAACAATGGTGCGAGAAAGCCTGTCCAAACAAATGTGTCTTTAGTTGGGACTTAAAATCATCAACAGTCTCTACGATACGCAGAGACTGAGGAAGCTCATTCCAAAGGCGAGGAGCAACTGCCTGGAAGGATCTGTCTCCTCTGGTTTTGAAACGAGACCTCTTCCCAGAGGTTTCCCATCACAGTACTAACCAGGCCCTGCACTGCTTAGCTTCAGAGGTCTGACAGGATCTGGCTTTCACATTCAGGTATGGCCACAATATAAAGATAATAGCATCCTTCTAGCTGACTCATCTTTCCTTAGGTTCATCCATCAAACCTGTCTTTCCAGTAAACTCCGGAGCTCTCCTCACTGGATAAACAGTTGCTTAATTGCACCGTTCGAGCGCTCATAAAGACTTCCCCACTTCCCATTAGCCAAGCCGTAATTAGCTTTAATTAGCACCAGCAAAGACACAACAAAAGCATTATCATTTATGAATACTCAATCAAAGCGTAATTACACTAGTTTGTATGTGCAACTTCAGGCATATTTATAAACAGACATGCTCACAGCGACTGTATCTGTTTCGCAAACTGAATCATTTTGGTGTGAGTCGTTCTATCCTTGAGACGGTCTACAAGAGCCTGGTGGAGAGCATCCTCACCTTTAACATGCTGATGTGGTTTGGCAACCTCAGCATGAAGAACCAAAACAAACTCCAAAGTATCGTGAACCAGAGCTCGAAGATCATTGGGCAGCCACAAAGATATCTCCAGTGTTTGTTCGAGGAGCGCTTGGGAAAGAAGGCTGAGCTCATCATTAAAGATGCTTCCCATCCGCTAAACCCAAAGTTTGAACTTCTGCCGTCAGGACGGAGATATCGAGTGATATCAGCTAAGAAAAACATTTTTAAAAACTCCTTTGTGCCCAGAGCAGTGAAAGCGGTAAACACTCTTAAGCTTTGAGCAGTCCTGAGCTTGACTCTTGTCTTTAGGCCGGAGGTGGCCTTGTTGGTTTGTTCTTCAAATTGTTCTGTGAATGTAGTGCCACATGATATTGTGCTGGATGTGTGTCTTTTATGTATTTTAAGGTGATAACCAAAGGCAATTTTCCACCTTGGTGGACAATAAAGTTTTCTTATTCTTATTCTTATAATAAAATTGAATTGGGAATATTTTTATGACATTAATAATGCTCTTGGCCTAGTGTAAAAATTGGGTTGTTAGTTTGTAGGTCGTGGGATAGTGTTTCACTCACTCACATTTCTGGGTGTAGCCAAAGAAAAGTGGAATAACCCAGATATTCACCAAAGGTTGGAATTGTTGTTTCACAAGGGGTCTATTGTGGAATCTGACCTGCATGTTTTGGACTTTTGACCTCCGTTAATGTATCTCTGAATTACTGCTAATTCAGAGATCAAGATCTGAACGTATTTGTTCTATCCGACATCACAACTAGCATTTATATCTTTGGCATCCGCGTTAGTGATTGATGACGTCCCTGTTCTTATGTTCATTGATGCACACCATATAAAAACCCTCTTCTTGGTTGCCTTTGCCACATTTTTCAACACTATGCTTCTTAATCTCATCGCTTGCAGTTTTTAAAAAGGAACATTGCCCTGTCCTGTCGCAAACCTGCCTGTAGGGGCACTAGTTAGCCTCACTGCGCACTTACCCAGCCAGCTTGTGAGATCAGCTGGGTTGTTTGGGGGCGCAGTGTGCAGTAACTGATAAAATGTGCAGGAATTGGCTGTAGTATTTCTTGCTAATGTTATCACCCATTCTGAATAAAGCTGATGGCCGATTGTTTTAGCTCTTTAATTGGATTAGGAACCCCCTCCACACTTGTCGCTGCGTGTTTGGGGCAGCCACCTGGGACTTGGCTGCGATACAGTAATAAACAATGGCCAGGCATAATGACTTTTGATTGAATTTAAGTTGTGCGTGATAAAATCAAATCTCACAGCCCTTACATGTGCGAGTGCAAATAGTAAATAGTTAACGATTAATCAATCACTAATCTATTTTCAGGATTGTAATCGTTTCTTTTGTTTTGTTTTTTATTCTTTGCAAGAAACTAACAATATCTCAATTTCACCAATAAAATCTGTGTTGCCTTAACTCTTTTGTCTAAAGTGTAAGTAATTTTTATTTATATACCGCCACAGACCAGAGTTTTTAGGCATTTTTGTCTCTCACTCCATAGAGGTGGGAGCAATGTGGGGCTCATGCCAGACCTATTGTACATGTTTTTAGTGGTAGGGGAAACCGGAGCACCTGGAGGAAACCTACGCAGACAGGGGGTAGCTGAGTGGATAAGTGTATTTATAACATTCCTTGATGCATTTGTTCGGTCGAGAGATCCTTGTTTTAGATTCAGTTGTCACCAGTTGTTCTTCTCTGACAGGAAGGTGAATAGCAGAGTTCACAGCAAGTGTTTGATCCATGAATCTCCCATTCCATTCCTGATTCCAGTTGAACAGTACGTTATTGTAGCAGTCCTCCTCCTCGCTGATCAACTTTTGACATCATGACCAATGCCTAAAAACCATTGATCAGCTAATTGCCACCGTGAGGAAGAGGAAGACTCAGACTGAAGATACTCAGCCACTGAGCTCACAGTAGCACAGAGTGTAATCAGCAGAGCCACAGAAGGGCCTAGATTGGCGGCAGTAGCTCAGTTGGTAGAGTGTTGGCCTTTGAGCCAGAAGGTCATGGGTTCAAGACCCGCTCAAGACTTTCACCATCGACTCCCACTGACTACTGTCGTTGTGTCCTTGGCAAGACACTTAACCTCTGGGAACACCAGCCTCAGTGGGGTGGCTGCGGCTGTAAAGTGCCAAACTGCTGTTGTGTCTTTAGGCAAGACACTTCACCCCCATTGCTGAGTCTGGTGTGTGTGTGAATGGTTGGTGGTGGTCGGAGGGGCCGATGGCGCATACTGGTTGCCTCGCTTCTGTCAGCGTGCCCCAGGGCAGCTGTGGCTACAGTAGTAGTTTATCACCACCGTGTATGGAGTGAATGAATAATGACACATGTGGAGCGTCTTTGAGTGTCCAGAAAAGCGCTATATAAAACCGATGCATTATTATTATTAGATCTGGACGTCCTCAGTCCACATCCCACACTGATGACCACTCCATTATAAGAATGATGACCTGCAGAACCGGAAGATAAATGCCTCTTCAGTACCCAAGAGTTATTATCACTATTTAGGATTTAAAACAAAATGCTTAATTGTTTTGTGAGTCTACAGTTATCAGACAACAATGAGCAATAACTTTCTTAAAAAACAAAGCTAAGAAACAGTTTACTTTCTTCCCAAAATGAGTGAAAAGTCTATTTGGGCCTAATTGGTCACAGTGGGCCGTTTGTTGACCCGTGGCTGAGCTTCTGACTTCCTCTGGATCCAGATGGTTCGAACCAATCCAGTTACAGCGCTGGTCTCAGGTTAGGACCTTTTAACACATGCAGCTGCAACATTGTGCCACAGCTCAGGCTGAGAGAGAGAACAGAGACAGAGCTCCCCCTCCTGGACACTAACTGCAAACAGAGATTGAGGAAAGAGAGCTATACTTAAAATCCAAGGACTGCTATGAAATAATAATAACATAAAGCTACAATTTGGTTTTACATACACAAATAATTAGCCACACTTGTTTTCTTTGTTTACATATAGTGCCCGTGTTTCCAAAACTCATGTAAAATAAACTGAAATCCTTCTTCAGAGAAAATGATCTGTCCTTCATTTGAGAAATGCTTGAATAACCAGCATATTGGGAATGGCTTTTGCCTCAAATGCATTTTATAACCTTGTACAACCGTTTTCTCTCTATGCAGATCACAGACAGAACCTGTTTCTGAACTTTAAAAACACGCTCAAACCTGTAGAGCCACTGCAAAGTACCACAGCACTCTGCAGAGAAAACAACACTTTCAAACCACTACAGTGGCATGACATGTTATGTAAGTACCTTTTGTTTTACTTTAAAACACAATATTGAAGTGAATTTATGTGGAGTAAGCAATGATTTTGTATTGGTCAAAGAAATCTTTAGCAAAGTTTGTGTGTAAAATAGTATGTGCTAAGATACTGCTTCTAGTCACTACTTACAACAAACAAATTGAGCTACAAGTTACATCGTGTGAATATCAACTCCATTAAAAGCAAAATACTGCTGCTACAATTGCTTGATAGTCTTATAGAAGGCTTTAGATGAGTCTGTACTTCTAAGGGCTAGCATTTCATGAATTCACCATTGACACTGAAAGAGGCTATTGTGACGCAAATTCTGCTTTTTGATCGGAAACCAACACCTCTGTGAAGTTGGCCCATCATTGATTGCGCATATCTACAAAAACTTTATTAAGCGTTTTTGCTCCAAGAAAGTTAAATTTGTGCTTTTTTATTTTATGTGGCATTAACAATCACGTTATCAGTAAAATCGTCATCACTGTTGTGTCAATTGATAGTGCTTTGTTTGTACTGTTAAAGGTTCCATTTGTGCTATACAGTTTTTTAATTATTAACGATTTCATCTTCGTCTGGTGACATCTTTAGCATGAACCAAACTGGTGTCTATTGTTCTCTATTTGTGCTGCTTTGTGCTGTCAAAACTAATATTTTGTACTATTTTGGACGTATGAATACTATTTGGACGTTTGATTTGTTTATCCTGTATGTATCTATAAACAAATCTAATTATGTTTTGGCTGTTTACAACAAACAGCGTAATCTCAACGATGTAATCTATAATTTAACTATTTTCAGCTTTGGATCCAAAATTGTAGAAACATTGAGATAAGACAAACTGTATTGATCTCACAATGGAGAAATTTTCAAGTACAAGTTCTGAGACTACAAAGCAGCCCAAACGGAGACTGAACGGACAATTGATTGACACATGCTCAGCTCACATTGGAGCTCAATAAAAGGTGGAGTGAACCCAATTATACCTCTAAGAGACTTGTTCATATCCATAAAACTATTTCCGCACAAAAAACTTTTCTGCAGCACAAATGATATAGTTTTTGTGAGCGAGCAATCGATGACGGGCCAACTCAAACTTGTGAAACGTTAATATAAATCATTATGACCACTGTTATTATAATTAAAGATGACACCACATTTATATTTTGATCTGTAGCCACAATATTGTTTCCTCTGCACTTTTCCCTGGCTTCTGTTTCATTGCGGCAATAATAGAAGTAATAGTTCTGGTTCTGCACAAACTTTGAGCAAGTGAAAGTGGGTCACGGTGATCAAACTGCATCTGACTGTGTGTATTCTGGATTGTCTCATTCATAATTCATCGTCTCTGTGGACACGAGCGCTGGACAGGTTCTGGACATGTGTCACTGATGGCATCACATGACGATTAGACACTTGCCGAGAGAGCTGTGGAGGGTTGGCTATGGTTTGCCAAAGTACTGGAATGTATAGGAAGTTCAACAGCAACCAGAAAAGGATCAATTGCAAAAATAATATGTCAAGATTTGGGAAGAGTGTGGCCAAATATTTGTGTATGTAAAATTGTATTTAATCATATTTTCTTACAGGGATCCAGTGGGTTGGTCTGAATCGTTTGATCAACTCTTAAAGTGTAAAAGTAAGTTGTTTTTTTTCACCCAAAGAATATAAATGAATCTAAATGAAAAACAAAGAAGGTTATGCATCACATCCAGATTATTCCACATTCAAAGCACTTGGCTCACTTTGTAAAGAGCTCCCACACACACTTATCTCAGTTCGATCCCTCTGACCTTCCTCAGGTATCTATTCAGATATACAAAGCTTTGTTTGGCCTTGTGTCACAATTGCTTCAAATGAAACATAAACAAGACAACAATGAGCTGATCTGCGCTGTCATTTGTCCAAATAAACACAGCCGAACGGGGGCAAGAGGAGGCCTGAGAACAGAACAATGTGTCGCTAATGAGGCCAAGACAAATGGGAGGAAAATAACGACATGGATTTATGTGTGAGATAAACACTGTCTAAGGCCCTGTTTAGACTGAGACGCTGAGTCAGACGGTAGAGTTGGGTATCGGTTTGGCCTTTCGTTTACATGAAGACGGTGTTTCAGGTGAAAACGCAACCGTTGAGAAACGACCTCCAGAGTGGAACAGAACAGATTTGCTGCTGAGAGGGGGCTGTTTCACAGCCGTGTGAAAAAAAAAGTGTGAATTCTCTGCTGCTATGATCTCCACTTCCCGCTGCCCCCCCAAACGTACATTTGGACATGCGCAGTAGCCAAGAACAAACGTAAACAACAATGGTGGCGTGTACACTATCTATCTACATGGGCTTCGAGCGCTACACGGAGGAGAATCCTACTTTTTCGTTCGTCCAAACACAACCACACAAAGCTATAGTTTTAGTTTCAATTTTTGCAGCTGCTGTTAAATGCAGAATGATGTTGGTGCATTCTTTCACGTCTTTGAGGTGGCATGAGGAGTTTGTTGTTGAGGAAGTGATTATACTGCTGGGGGGGCTGGGGGTCATGTGTGTTGTGTTGTAAAGCTCTACCGTCCCCTACTGGCCGGGCGCTAGAATGACGTTGTTTTCATCTCCTTCTAACGCTGTGCAGGAGCCCGGTTGTTTTTGCTAATTGCTTTGGCGTGTCTCCGTCTAAACGAGGCCTAGAGCTTAAGCAGTTTAAACAATTCACTTTATTAAGTTTGCCCGAATTTAGCTTTGGAATATGTGCTGTATTTGTTAAAATACAAACTTCCATGTACTGTATTTTGGTGGAGGGAACAAAGCCCATACATTTTAAACTAAAATGCTCCCTCAAATGTAAGGGCCATGCCATGCTGCTTATGCCCACCAGGTGACACAGCAGTGTACTTGAAATGCCCCACAATGCAAAAGTGTGTCCCGTACAGCAATATTAACAGTAGAAAGTTGAAAAATCATCCACCTTTTTTCATCTCAATAAAAATTGTATAATGAGATCGAAGAATCACAATATTTATGCTGTATCCTAACATCAGATGCATTTCTATGGTATAAATTATATTCATATGTTGATCAGAGTGTATATGCATATGTTGTCCATAATCTCTATGTGGAGTGAGAGGACAAATGCCTTCAACAATTGTAAAGCGCTTTGTGGCTCTGGTCTGTGAAAGGCGCTATATAGATAAAGAGAACTTAATTACTTCATTATTTATGCCCAGTTGGCCTATTCTACTGTATATAGGGGTTGGTATAATCGCATTTTTGAATTAAGAATATTAATAGTATATAATGTTCTATTGGCCGATAAAAATTGATTACTTTCCGCACTTATTGAAACAGGTAAAACATTAGAAGCCTGAAACGTGTGTGTTTGCAGCTGGACTTTTGGTGTTCGAGGAGTACCTGAGGAGTGAATACAGCGAGGAGAACCTGCTCTTTTACCTGGACTGTGAGACGTTCAGGAGCCTGCCCTCGGAGTCCGACAGAAAGATGGCAGCCCGAAAGATCTACAGAGAGTATGTGGCTGTCGGAGCTCCACTGCAGGTGATATATACATTTTAACAATGACTATATTTACTAATGTATGGATTAGCAAAGAGGGGGGAGTTTAGGATTCCACACCCATCTTTATTATCCTAAAGTTAGAGTTTTTACTCTATTTTGAATTTAGTGTACAGTTATTGTTCAATTATCTTGTGTTGTGTGCTAGTCATTCCTACATTTCTGTAACTGGTGATGCAACACTGAAATTTCCCCACTGTGGGATGAACATATTTTCTCCTTATCTAACCTTAAATTCCCTTCCATTTCGCAGCTAGTGCTCTTAGGGCCATCCCCACTAATATAAAAATATCAACAAAAAAATTATATTCTTGTTGGTACCATTTTACAAAACCTTGGTCTGAATCTCCAATCTGTTAATTAACCATGAAAAAAACAGATATTGCCGTAAAACAGTTTTCGACCCGAGAACGCTTCACTTGGGGTTGACAGCCGCATTCAGGGGGCCGACAAAAGAGTGAATATAAGAGTTGGACTCAAACAGCAAAGGTCAAAGTCTGGTGCACAGTTAAAAAAAACCTAGGTGGTCTCGGTGTGTGCACTGAGTGCCCTTTCCCCAGTGAAGCTGGACCAAGGCCCTGCACCCAGAGCCGGATCGGGGTAGTAGCGATTTAGCTTAGATCTAGACTGACAGTAGCTCAGTTGGTAGAGCATTGGCCTTTGAGCCAGAGGGCCGTGGGTTCGAGCCTGAATTTCACTATCGACTCCCACTGTCTACTGTCGTTGTATTCTTGGCGAGACACTTAACCTCTGGGAACACCAGCCACAGTGGGGCGGCTGCGGCTGTAAAGTGCCAAACTGCTGTTGTGTCCTTAGGCAAGACACTTCAACCCCATTGCTGAGTCTGGTGTGTGTGTGAATGGTTGGTGGTGGTCGGAGGGGCCGATGGCACATACTGGTTGCCTCGCTTCTGTCAGTGTGCCCCAGGGCAGCTGTGGCTACAGTAGTAGTTTATCACCACCGTGTATGGAGTGAAAGAATAATGACATGTAAAGCGTCTTTGAGAGTCCAGAAAAGTGCTATATAAAACCGATGCATTATGATTATTATTAGAGCAGAACAAGGCACAGCCCAGGGATAGAACAGATATAACAAAATGAATACAAAGTTTCTACACCTGCTACAGCATGTTCTCTGTGTGAGCCGTTAACTGAGCGCGCCTTCTCTCACACAGCGCCGCACCACTAATTTAGTCACGGCCATTGATTTTAATTTCCCCCTGTAATTTGATCATATAAATGCATATTTGAAATAAATGGGCCTTATTTATCATTGACCATTTCTGAGCTGGTTTAAGGGCAATCTCACACTGTGTGTGAAATTAAGCTTTTTCAAGCTATTTTATTGTCTGTGTTCCGTGTCTTGATTTGCTGCTTCGCTACAATCACACACACACACAGTGTGTTTGATCTTTCACAAATGTAAACATATTTTCACAGATAAACATCACCTGTGAGACACGAGAAGAGATCCGGATCAGTCTTTCAAACCCAAAGCCGGACTGTTTTAGCAGAGCACAGAAAATAGTCCATTCTCTGATGCAACACGACTCGTATCCACGCTTCATCAAATCTCAGGTTTACCAGGCACTATGACAGAACGCCATCAACATGTGGAAAAATAGCTCAGGACGGCAACACAGACTGCTGAATGTGCATACAAGATCATACCAGTACACGGATTTTGTGTGAGTTTGCGTGTTCTCTCTGTCTGCATTGATCTGATATAACTAAGTTTTAAGGGTCCAGGATCAATGTCAAACTTGTTATCTCTGGATCAATGTAAGAACCAACCAATCAGGAGTCATTGTAATAGGGTCAACTTTGACACTGATCCAGGACTCTTTGTGATATCAGATTGTGGGAGTGTCTGAAGATTATGGCTCTGGTGCACTGGTTGCTCCAGTTGCTCTCTCAAACAACATTTGTAGATGCGGTCATTTTCTACCCTTTAATCCATTTCTTGGGGGAGAGATGCCAGAGATGCCACCAATTAAATTACGTATGTCAATATTAGTAAGATGAACTATTATATTGATCCGAGATTTTTATTTGTCTGTTGGTTGTGGGCCAATCAATTTAGCAGTTTAACAAAATTGGTTTTGTTACTTATTCATCAGAATTTTCATCAGTTTGTGCTATAACAAAAAGGATTGGTTGAAAAAACAACCATAAAATTCACCTCAACAAGTTGCATTATGTCTGTTGTGGCACCACCTGCATCAGATCAGCTCGGAAGCTAAGCAGGGCAAAGTCAGGTTATAATGTGTTGGGAAAACACTAATACAATCTCATAGGACGGCAAGACAGTTGTTGCGTCCTAGTAAGATTCTATTGTGTGCAGAAATGATTGGTGCTCGGCCAACTTGTAATTTGTAAATTAGTCTTTCATTTCACCAATATTTTGATCAAAATAATTTGGTACCAATATGCATATGTATAAAAAAAACTATGTATGAATGTATTGTTTTAAACATAACATTGTTCAGACACAACAAAGGGACCAGCGCCTAAAATGATTGGAATTCAAATTTGTCTGCATTAACAATGTGTATCTGTGAAAGAAAACGTCAAAATCCAGTACCACAAAATTACCTCACATTAGGTACGGATTATCTTTCAAGTGGAACCATATAAAAACTTTGAAATACAAGCTTTGACAGGGACAACTTCATAAATGTAGCCCCAAATGTAACAAATCTATTTTGAGTAATGGCTTATTTTAAACCATGTGTTGTAACATGTGTTGTTTTAAGCTGCTGTTTTTTAGATAAAGTGTTTGGTATATTCAGCATTCAACACATCCAAGGACTGTATAACTATTTGTAACAAAACTAAACTTTGAATGTATTGTAAAAGACGTTACTATGATGCGAGGAGTTTCTCAGCTCCTCTTATCAAAGTGAGCGGCTTACGGTTCACGCCGCTTAATCATAATAAAGCCAATAGTAGTCATCAAAGATTTAGCGCTTGAGCTATTGCCGTGCAGGGGATCAGAACTGCAAAGAAAAACATTCAACTCCACCTTTTCGAATAAGTAGACGTTGTATTCACCGGCAATAGTGAAGGATCTGTTTTGAAATGCAATGTGCTCGATCTGGAATAATCCTTGCTTTAAGATTTTGTGAATGACACAGGCTTTAGGGAACTTCACTGCATGTAATGTGTATGTGACAAACAAATAAACTAAACAAAAAAAACTACAGCATAAGTCCTCAGAAGGAATTATGAATCTGTTTTTATGGAAATTCAATGTTTCTGTTTTTGGGTGTTTTTTTATTTTTTATTAGGATACTTGTAATAATAATAATAATAACAATAATCCTCATCATCATCATCCTCATCATCATCCCCACAATAATAATAATCATCATACTCAAAATAATAATAATCAACATAATAGTAACTTAAATGTTGCTGTTTATTTCAACATCGTATATTCAAAACGTGATATAATTGTGAACTTCATTGTTTGCAAGTGGCCACTAGATGGAGACATTACACTGCTAAAACATTGTGATTCCGCAACTGCTTTTAGCTTGAGTTCATCTAAGTGTTGTTTTGCCTTGATATGTTTACAGTTTGTCATTAAACTTTTCTTTTATATCGGAAAAAAGTGCACTGACCAACATTGAGAACTCTCCGAAGTTGCTTCTACATTAACAGCAGCTGGTGTACCATCGAGAGCCAAAGCATTTTCCTAGTTCGTAACTTCCTATGACTCACAATGGCAATACAAATAATTCTGATTCTGAAAAGTAAGCCTGTATTGATAGAATCCATACTGTTGTAATTGGATTTTTTTACTGAGCGACATCCCAAGCAAAGCAATAACAGGAAAGTTGAGCAATACCACTATAATTCTGTTTTTTATGCTCAAATTCAAGTTTCTTGTCAAGTACAGAAGGATAGAGTATTCTGCACATTACAGGACAGGAGAAAAAAGAATGATCAGGATAAGCAAGCATGAAACGAGAAACAAGGAAATTATCTATTAATAACTCTGGTGTTAAGATGGTGTTGAATGCACTAGAAAATTTAAAAAACACAATTCTCACAGTGGGACGGCGTGCAGTGGACGAGGGAGGTGATGGCTTCCTCTACTCTGATGCTCGGCCGATAGAGGAGCCATGGAGCGGAGGTGTCTCAGGATCAGATTATTCATGAGGCAAGTCTTTCAGATTCAGATTCAGATTCACTTATTTGCCATTTGCAGTAAAACCACATTGGAAAAACTGTGCAAGACTACCCCAGTGTGCACCAGACACACACCAGAGCTCTTGCCACGGCGCCATCTTTACGGCGTCATGCGTAAAGATCCATTTTTTTTTCATTAACAGCCCAAAATCATCTGGTAGATTTCTTATAACATGGGTGTCAAAGTCAAGGCCCGGGGCCAGATCCGGCCTGCGAATGCATTATCTTGGCCCCCAGGATGTGATTTGATTAGTATTAGAAATGGCCCGCACATAAATATTGGATTATTCATTTAATGTTCAATGGTTCAATAGGTTATATTCAACATTTTAATAAACATTCAACCAGTCCGGCTCTCGGGTTGTAGCAAATTTGTTTTTTTGGCCTCTGATGTATTTGACTTTGACATCTGTGTCTTAAAACATTTGCAGGGAAATTGGTCATAGGATGTGAAAACCATTTTTGTCAACCTGTGAGCCATGGATCTGACTTTTGCAAGACATATGTACTGGATGTCAGAAGCAAATCAGTGACTTTCGGTCCACACGACACATTCTCTATACTGTCTGGGCTAATATTACAGGCAAAGGCCCAACACCTCGTCGATCGAGGCAGGTTTGTGGAGATGCAAGCCCATGTTTGCTCTGGAATGGTTCCTGCTATAATTGTGACCCTGTTTCCCAGCAAACACTTCCTCCTGTCAGAGCAGAGCTTTTCCTGAATTATGTAACACTCAAATTTCATAAGTGCAGCGGATGGACAGAGGATGTGAATGACAAATCTGGGAAAGTCTAATTACTACAAAGCTACAGGACGTCCACCCCGCTGCATCATGGTGAATCACATATTTACCAAAAATATAATATATCAGAACATTCACTTGTGGTAGGGCTTTCATACAGGTGTCACTATCTACCCTCATTACACTGCCACGAAGGAAAATGATTTGTATACAGTATATGTAAATAGCTGGAATACAAAACACTAACACTATCCGTTTGACCAAGTGAAAACATTGTATCGTCTAAAATAGAAAAGCGGAAAAATTGAAAATAATCTAAAAATTGTGGTTGGATGAACTTGACTGAACATGGCCTGTCACTTGTGGGGTAAAGTATATGTAGTTCTGGTTCTGGGCTTTGGTTCGTTGCTGGTTTGTTGTCCTGCCCTGGGGCCTGCTGCGTCGGGATTGGTCGGGGTCATTGTGCTGCTGGTTGCTGTCATGTTGTTGAACATTGCAACTGGCTCCAAACACACGGATGTAAATCGGATATTCACAGGGAAGGGAATTTATACGGTTTGTCTTCCTCCCACTCCTTTTCGAGTTTGAATAACGTACAATATTGTAATATGCCGTTGTATAGGAATGATCTGCTAGATAGTGATGTATAGTGTTTCATGTGCATCGAAAATAAATAAACACTATACTTATTTTATTATAGGTACAGAATGAAATGAAAGTATTGATTCCTTTGATGTGAATGAAGGGTTGTATTGTCAGTCTGATGTTGTAAGTGTGAGGTGTGGTCGTACAGATATTATGCCGTGTGTGTGTGTATGCGCAATTTGATTTTATGTTATGTTATGTTATTCTCTTTTCATGTAACCCAGGACTGAAGTTGAATGGGATGGTTAGCGGTGTAGCTATAGCTTGGTGCAGAACATATCTGTCTTTGAACTGAATGTTTCTATGCACTGCCCCTCTCAATGGAAGACGAAACTAAACTTGTGTGAACATGGAAGTACCGTAGTATCCCCAAAACACTCCAAAATGTATTGGTTAGGCAGATGACCCATGGTACGGAGCTATCATACTGCGTGTCACCCAGCCCTCGTGAAGCTTCCGTCATCACCATGTGTGGAATGATTGGAACAATATCTGAACTCTGAACGTTGTAAAGCGCCTTGGGTGACCTTGGTCTGTAAAATGCGCTATATAAATAAACATTACTTTCTTACTTACAAATGGATAAACATATGTCTATTGTTGTAACGTGGTCCGTGCTTCTTCTACATTCTGACCCACATTCAAATGCAGAAGAGTCTGGGACCGGGCAGATTGCTTCTCAGTACTCCCAGCCGATGAAAGGGTCAATCCCAGAACTCACTTTGAAAACCAGAATCGACAGTATCGTGGTCAAATGATCCACAGTGATGTACGAGCAGAGGCCCAGTGCATTAAACACTGAACACGTGAATAGGTGGCGACATTTAGATGAAAACGAGATTCTCTGTGAAATAAAAAGTAACATAAATGCCTCAAACGCACAGTGTCATTGCAACATACTTGAAACATGCGTGTAATAAGCAAAGGAGAATCATTAAAGAAAATGTTCATTATATTATGAACCAACTGAGGATATTTCTAAATCAATATGCCACAAATAATTACAACTTAA